GTGTCGTTCCAACATCTCCTTTTAATGGAAATACATCAGATTAAGGAAGTAATACCACCTCATGGGACCTTTTCATTGACTGCTACACTGTACAGGAGACAGAGGAGTCTTACATAGTCCAGTTTTCTTCTGTGCTCCCTATGCCTCCTCTGAGCTCTTTTCTTCAGTAGATAATGAACGGCACGCCCTGCCATGTGCGCAGAGCAGATTTACAAAAATAGTTTCACACTCCTTCAAATATTCAACATCCAGCAGCTGTAGGATGAAATAACTGACCTCGCAAGTCAAATCAGTCACCCAGTGAAACATTTGCACACAACAGCACGCTTGAACTGCAACTTGGACAATTACTCCTCCTCACTCGAGTCTACTTGCCGCCTCTCCGTCAGCATCTTCGCCTCATACTGCCGCCCCAGCGGCTCTCATTACTGCTCACTTCCCTCCAGGTTCACCCACTCGCTCCATGCCTCCTGTCTGGCAGCAGGCACCCATGTGCCTTGAGAGACCACCGCTACATCTCTTCCCGGGCCAAAGCCTGTAATCCCTCACCTGTCAGGCTGGTTCAGTGTGCTAACCTTGGATCCGCGCCAGCCCACTCAGTCGGCTATCGCCCGTTCCACTAGCTCAGCGTGTTTGGCCCACACACGCTTGTTCCCACCAGCTTGCAAGTCTTTGACCACACTTCTCATGTCACAGAGGATACAGGGTCATCTGTGACCGTTAATAAACACCATCACAGTCTACATTGTTTCAACTAAATCCGAGTCAACTTTATGCTGTCATTTTAATATATTTGCTTGCAGGATATTATGTGCAGAGCCTTTTATAAACAGTCTATGTTGCAGAGTGAAGTTAGAAAACTTGGGTTCATCCTACCAAGTTTATCTGTAAAGCCGATGAGATGAAGAGTTCGATATGTGTTCCACATACAGACAGACAGACATTTGTGGAATTAGTAAGTAGATGCAAACTACTGTGCACTAATAAATAGTACATATTTTCATATAACAGCATAATATTTTTTCAATTTCTTCTCCACCTTTTAGCTTTGAGGGAAGAAAAAGAAAAAGCACCTTTGCTTAATTTCAACCAAGGACCACTGCAAATTCAGTGGCTATAAAAAATGGTACTGAGCAATAATTAAAGACATGATTTCTACAGAGCATGGCCAATTAAGAAACTTTTTTTTTTATACAGGGTTACATTTTAATGCTGACTGTCTCTTCTGAGAGAGACTGCACTGCAAGAAAATTCCAAAGTCTGTTTGCAGACAGCACAAAGTTGTTTAATTGTCCATATGCTCCAAGATATATAATCCCTGACTTAATATTGGTCTATGTTCTATCTAATTAGATCTCACAATACTGTTGGAGCATTTAATGTGCCCCTGCTTTATACTGCGATTTATACCCCTGCTTACATGGTACCCTGTAATGATAATGGCTGAATATTAACTCATTAACATACATGATGCATGGAAATTAATCAAACGACAGTATTTTTATCTAAAAGACGTTCAGTGTCTTCAGCTGAATGATGAATAACTGATTCAATAACATTTAACATGCCAACAAAAATCCATTGTAGCTTTTGTTCCAGTCCAACCAGCCTCAGGTGAACATTGTGCACCGCTCACTGCTCCATTAAGTCTGATGCGGTGTTGGATGCAGCAGTGGTTTTCTTGTCACAAATAGTGAAGCATGACTTCTGAATCTTGCTACTTTTGGAAAATGTCACACTTGTCAGTTTCTGTTACTGTGTGTTCTTGTTGCAAATAGGGTACTGTCGTCGCAAATCGAACACGGCCACTGTTCATTCACCGTGAATGGCGATCGCAACGTTTGACCGCAAATGTCGGCCGATACAATATAACTTCCGGCCACTTTGCGCATTTGAAAATGATAGTTTACTTTCTTGTATATGCCGGCAGCTTTTCACAACACCATCTTCTCCAATGATGTGTCCTCCCTCCCACCATATATCCAGAATGGTGACTTTTTTTACAGTGTTGAGTGCACCATCCAGGTGCATGTCACCATATTTATTAGTGTAAACACACTTGTGCTCTTGAAAGGGCATTTGTGGATATGGAGGCACACAAATTAAGACACAGGATCTTTACTAAAGGACGTTTATTCCAGCTGACATTTAGTCTCTTCATATCAGCAAAAGTAATAATTAATTACATTATTGATTTAACTTGATTTACAGTGATTTGTCTTAGTGAAGTGACAGTGAGCCGCTGTGCACAATAACACGACCTTGGAGGGGAATTAGTTACACCACTGCCTAAACGTCAGCTGTGAAAATGCACGGTGGTTCTCAGTAATAATACTACGTTTAGTAAATACTTTTAGTTTAACCATGAGTGTGATTTGGACAGGAAATACTTATACAATACAATACTAATAAACAGGCGACCAGCGCTTTTGTTGGTTACGACAACAGCGCAGTAATGACAACAGTAAGGACAACTGATTCTCCAGTTCTGTGTCTTGGTATTGGGTCAAGCTTCACCAAACTTTGAATAAACAGGTGAACAGCTCTTTGTGCAGCAGGGGGGATGTAGCATCAGGGTTCTGTGGACTGAGCAGCTCTATACTGGCTGCTCAGTTACTGCAGGTCACGTTTACAGTTTCAGAAATTAAACAGCAACCAGCATCACCACAGTGCAACCAAACTGTGTGTTCTGCCTGTCTGTAGTTTCTTACCAGGTATTTATATGCTTGTATTTAGACACTGAATATTGAAGGAGACTAATAAAGTAATACATGTGGCTGGAATGATTATGTAACGTGTATTTTTCGAAAAAACATATACCAGAGGAAATCTCTTGTTGCTTTATCCTCATCGGGGGATCTAAACAGCTGGCTGATCTTGGAAAAGGTTTGTGTGTGTGTGTCTGCATGACAGAGTATGAGTGCTTTGGTGAAACACGCAGATGGGACATGCCGCACTTTGTTTTTCTGAAGTGGATATTTTAGTGAGGAGAATGGTTTCTTAGGGACCAAAGGTTTCTTATTAAATTTTGAGTTTCCACTGGTGCAAGCAGAGAAGCCTTTTTGTTTGATATATGATTCATGTTAAGCAAGATATTACCTTTCGCAGTCAAACTATTCTCAGCCATTTCCCAAAGCTTTTTGTATTCCGTATTTTCATGCATCTGAGCTGCCTCGGACATGCACACCTGTCACTTTTTGATAAAAGGGCCTGATTGAAAACCCAGAAATGTGTATTGCATTCAAATATTCATCATATTCTAACCTTTTTTGGTTCAGCTTAATTATACAGTGAGGTGCCTATTTGACAACCAGAATATATCAAACTGTGACCCAGTCAATAAGGTTAAAAGGCTCAGGCTCAGTGGACTGCACAATGGAGATACTAAGCTTTAAGTGTCTGGCATCATCTGGCTAATATGTTCCTCTTAGCATTGTCATCTGCAAGGTTTCATCCTGGTTTGTTTTTCAGCACCCACGTCACCTTGGTAACAAGCAAGTGCAATTTAACAGGACTGCAGACACTCATTGAACTGATCTGCATTTTTAATTACTGTGATTTTCCTACAGCTTCTTCACAATAAACCCTGTTTTTCACCGGATGAATGCTTCATAATTGATATTATATTATGTGGATATGTGTACGTGTAGATATATAGTTTATTGTCTTCATTTTCCAAGAAATGCTTTTTGTTTTCTTTCCTTTTTTGGGGTGGGGGGGCATATATCTTTATGCAATATTCTGTAAACCACGTGAACAATTAGTGTTTAAGTAGCGATCTGTGGAACATGAGGGAGCCCTGATGCTTAATTGTTATTTATTTATAGCTCACACATAATAGCCACTTAGTGAGACTGAAATCATTTGCCCAAACGTCTCAAAATTAGCATGTGCGTATTTTGCATGTATTGAAAGTGACCTTTACCTAATGAGTGTTTTAATGAAAGGAGTTGTGGCTCCGATGGACTCTTTATGTTGAGTTGTAATTATAGGAGAGATTAAACCACAGAAAGCAATTCTAGCGAAGACATATATTCTAGTTTAGGGAAAATTCAGGTTACCCTTTAAGCCCTAAATTTCTTTAAGCCCGTCCCCTACCAGTGTAATGATGCATATGAGAGTGCAAGCACATGGAGTTGTTGTTGATGGGGGTTACTTGGATATTACAGGTCAGTTCCTCATGGGGATTCTAGTTTAATCAAAGACGGTGCTGATTAACTCATCAGTGCTCCACCTACAGTATAGTGGCCTTTTCATCTTCTCTACAATATTGTTCTGCTGGGGATTGTGGGCCATGTAAATTAATAACCAGTGCATGTGATGAATCCTCTCGCAAAACGAGCCGAGTGTTTCCTATTTGGAAAGGAATTCATTATCATCATTAATTTTTGTTTTGTTTGTTGGATTTTGGGTGAAAATATTGTGATTCCAGACTGTTCAGACAAATATAGCAACACAAACACAAGCAGACAGTTATTATACAAATATTGATTAAAGCCCAAGGCGGATCACTGATCAGATTTTCACTGTGAGAGAAATATTTCACAGGCAGGAGAAATCAGACCTAATTTCTTATTAGAAGAATGTCAAAACTGAATCATGTTAAATATGTTTTCTACTTATTACATAACAAAATAACTGATTATATAGTTATTTAAATAAAAGTCCTGTCTTGGATCACATTCAGTATTTAGAACAAAGTGTTCTCACAACATGTATTTATACTGAAAGCTGGTATACAGTATGTAATGTTTTAATTCATAAATTATTGATATATCCATCTGTGCGATGGAGTGTCAAAACACATAAAGCCCATAACACTGTATATGCACTGTGAAAATATAGATTGCATTAAGCACCAAACACCAGGCTTTTTCACCACTCTGAAGGCATGTTGATCTCAGCCCTTCACTAATGGAGCAATGTATCAACGCTTTTATTACACAGAGAGTGTTTTCATGCTTTTGAATCCATCTTCCTCTCTGTGTTTCTTCCTACAGGGCAGTAGTTGGACACAGAGAGCCGCTGCCTGATGATAGCAAAGACAATATCACCATTTTCACCCGGATCCTAGACAGGCTACTGGATGGATACGACAACAGGCTACGACCTGGGCTGGGAGGTAAGCTACCATATATATATATGTTCGATAAATCAGAGACTTCTACAGAGAGGAAGATTAAAGGCTGCTTCACTGAGTCTCTGTTTTACGACACAGATAACTGGGATAAAAATTCACATCGGGTATTAAACACGTACATTTTCTTTTCTCTTTGTAAAGATGTTTTTATGTTTTAAGTCAATTTACACATCATTATTTATTATGGTGACATAAGCAAAAATTTAATATAAATCTATTGTTGTTCAGTATTGATCATCATCAGGTTTTTATCAACCACACTGATCACTACACAGTCAGTTGATAATAATTCATAACATGGGTCATAAAGCTGCTTTAGTCCATTGTAAACAAACATCCACAAACCCACTTAGAAGCCACTGAAAAAAATTCTCATAACTGCTCGAGAATCATTTGTTTTTCTCCAATACAATTTACAGTATTAATCAATTAATATTATATATAATGGAAAAGTGGTTGGGGGTTTTGAGGGCCTGCAAGTAAATCTTGCCATAGAATAAAAAGTTCCAGATCAACTCCAAAGTTGAGGAAGAGGTTTACTACAGCAGACTCCACTGACATTCTTTTTTTTTTTGCACATTGCTGTAGTGTAGTTGCTTTATTAGATTTTTGAACTTCATGGATCCAAAAGATGACTCACTCATTTTCTCATTGCAGATGTGTCTACATTGAGAGTCTTGGTAACAATCTCGCACTGACGTCAGGTTTCCATTTTGTGCAGCACTGTAATAGAAATCTGCCTTCCCCTGGGTGAAGCCTTTGTTCAATCATGCCCAAATGGCAAATAAGCACATATGTCAGTGCAAATCCCTCTAATTGGTTCTTTTTCTATCTAAATATTTGCCCCTGGAGGATGAGAAACCTAACAGCAAGCCCACATGCTCAAGCAGGCGTTGCCATTTCTAATCCAGCCAGCTGGAATGGTCACTTCTGCTCGAATGCTCGCTGCTGAAGACACAAGCGTGGCTACCAGGGCTGCAGAGCCACCAGGCTGGATGACCTGGACTCTGTGGCAGCGCCCAGCGAGAAGAACCAGGCACAAGATGTTAATGTCATATTGTGCCTCTGCTCACATCTTCAAGGGCAATGAGATGGCGAGGCTCACACCAGCCATGGCTCACAGTCATGGAGATTTTCTCATGTAGAGCCCTGACTGAGTCCTGTGTGGAGCAGTGAAAGCAAACAGGCTTTTCCTGGAATAACAGCACAGTGGGTAATTTTGCGCTACAGATAATTTTATCTAATTTATCAGAAAATATTATGACATTACAGGACGTTGGAGTAACTTTGCAGATTATGTTTTTCCTGAGTTGATTCAAAGACCTTAGATTCGAGGTTAAACCAATTGTGGCCCTTCTCAGTCTAGCCAGCATGCCCAATATAAAGTCAAGGTCATCTGTCTGCAGACGAACAAGACTACCTTGTCCTGTCAGCCGCCCCCACGCCCCACCATTCAAGTGGCACTGTCTGAGAGCAGGTAGAGGATGGAGAGCACCATTTAATTTCATTTTCAGAGCAATCTATTAGCTCTGCCCTATGCTCTGGTGACTTGTTATAAACAACAACGGGGCAACTCATTCCGTTTCCCCTCGCCAACGCCTGCCATGCAAACTGCTGACTCGGTGTTGTGATAATCACGTATTTGCGAGCGCTATTTGTGTCGCAGGGATGATAAATGTGTAAGTGGATCTCCTCTCTCAGGGGGGCCCTTTGACACAGGATTGGAGACTTCACCTGTGGGTGGTCGCAGAGATCTGGGACACAGTTAGAGCTGTGGATCCATTCACTTCTGGAGAAAGGCCTCATCACTCTCTAGTTGTTGCACCACTGGGAGCAGCTGTTTGTCTCGCCAATAGCTCAAAAGGCTGCTTTACACGTTTGCCCCAGAGGAGCTGATTCAGCCCACGCTGAGGAGGGCAAAATTTGATCTGTCACGACTTTCATATCTTGCCCTACTTAATGTTATATTATTATAATATCAGTGATTCCACATCCCTGATTTAATGTCACATTTAAAAGTCTTGAGCAACCTACTGCCTAATATTTATCATATTTGATCATTGTTGGCGCATCAAGAATCATCTATAAACCACTGTGACAGAACAGAAGCAACTAATGGGCTTGCAAACGTGAAGTGCAATGACACATGTAAATATAATTACAAGAAATATACAGAAAAGCTTTATAACAGTCATGCCAGATTCATACTACAATAGACTACATCATGTTTAATTTAATTATGATGTGTATATAGAACTGCTTTCTTTTTAAAGAAAAGAAACACACACAAAGACACACATGCTATAAATGCGAAGCTGCTGCATTTTATTCCCGAGCCAGTCGTCCCATGGGGACTGTTAAATGTTTTTGGGGCAGGCTAACTAAAATTATTTTGGGTCAAAAGGGATGTCTCCTCCACAGATAAAGACTCAGGCCTGGCTCAAAGCCGATTTTATGCTTTAGTGGGCAAAAATAGCTTTAACTAAACAAATGGTAGTTTCACTGAACAAAAGACTTTATACAGAATCTCAAGGCAATATTTCTGCCTCTGAAATGAGGTTGAAAACAACACTTGGGAGTGCTGTCCAACAATGCTTGAGTCTACATTTCAGGAAAATGTCCAATACTGTTAGTCTGGTGTTACGCCCTTAAACCCTTGATCTCAAAACAACGGCATTGTTTAGACAAAATGATGCACAAACACCATCAGATTTCATGTGCTGATCCGTCTTCCAGGAAACAAATGACTTTAATCTTCAGTTTTTCCACAGTTTGAAGAGATCCTCTCACCTTTGATTGTAACTGAATTTCTGTGTGAAGCAGCTTAGTTTAATGCCGGCAGGCAAACTTCTCCTTCATGTACACAAACAATCAGCTTTACAAAGACAGTAGCAAAGCTTTTCGTATACAGACAACACTGTGATGGGCTCTGTTCCTTGTTGTCTCTTTCCTCAGAGAGTGTGACAGAAGTGAGGACAAACATCTACGTGACGAGTTTTGGGCCGGTGTCAGATACAGACATGGTGAGTTATTTTCTCCTCTCTGCGCCTCGGCTATAATCAGCACCGTGAGTCATCAAATCTAAGCAGGTTATTAGGCTTTATTCTGCTCTATTTAAGTTTGACAAAAGTACTTTTGTCGTTTTGGATTCGGCAACCTCGTGAGATTTCCCTGGCAGAATAATAGAAATTTCATTTCAGTCAGGATTTCACACACTGGGAGTTAACAACCATCGCTTCTGATTTGGAGGATTTATTTAGATATTGCAGCTTCAACAGATACATTTGTATCCTTGCATCCTATGAGATGATTCTAAGAGGAAAATATGAAAAGTTACAGCGTATATCAGGGATAGATATCTCTGTGTAGATGCTTATGAAACACAAAATATGTATATTTCATGCGCAAAAAAAATCAGGAGGAAAAGACTGAAATGTATAGTAACCAACCCGATGTTTTTCCATGTTTTCTCTGTGGCCACAATCTGACAGACGACAGCAATTTCAGACCAATGTTCCTGCTGTACACTGTCTCCGCATGTGGTGTTCTACCGGTCCAGTCGATGTTTCTCCTGCACATTTCCTTCATTACAAATTTCGGTTTTTGTATTTGTTTTTTTTTTTGTTTTTTTAACACAGTTTTCTGGCTGCTGGTCCATTTTTCTTTACTTACATGAACTTCAGCTGGAAAACCAAGTCAACTATTGATGGACACCTAAAAATGAGAAGGTGTGAAAATGTCATCACAGAAAACGTTTCATCCCGATGATCTACCTGAATTATTAGAACAACCGGCACTGCACACTTTTCAGTTACCCACATATATTTTACAATATTATTAACTTAATTGATAATGTTATGGTCAGACAATTACAGACCTAATAGATCTTATTTAAACTGATGTTGGGTGGTATGATCCTATTGCAGCTGATGGCGATGCACATTTCATTGTTAAGTTACTACTCAGCTGCTTAACAGTGAAACAACTTCTGAAAGAAAATCAATGGTGTTAAGTTCTTTAAAATCAGAAAAGACAGCATTAACAAAACTAGTCTCTTACAACAGCCAAAAATAATTCAAGGACATTAGGTTTCAAATCAAGTAGAAATGTTTTCAGTGTCTTTATTGTAGAAATTCTATCACAGGCGCTGGATGATTCCTTTTAACAGCAGATGCTGGGGATGGTTTGCAGTTAGTCTTGAGACCTTATGCAGCATTTGACAGACTTGATCGTGCAGCTCTAATTGACCGCCGTGAGCACTGGGTGGTTTCTCCGGCTTGGTTCGGAGCCTGCTCGTCAGCCTGTATGACATAGCAAGATTAGCGCTTGTTGGAGAGCTGAGTTGAGTTTTTGTGGTCTCACCAGGGGGCTTTTCACATCAACGTCTCTGGAGCAGCTTACTTTAAGACTGCCAGGATCAAACCTTACATAAGTTGGCAAGTGAGAATCTCTTGAGATCTGATGGACATCTGTAAAGACCATTACAGTGGATCATAAAAGAACTCTCTTTTTCCATTGATGGTGTATTGTGACAGAGATGTGCAGCCGATTGGTGGAGCCATTTGTTCCAGAGATGTTCCAGTGCAGGCATCGGAAATGATTCCAGTACACTTTTAAAAAATGCTGGGGCGAACGTTGGCTAGTGCACATATATATGTACCGATTTGATACCTAATCTTAGAAGTATAATAGTTTCACCCAGATAAAATTGCAATTTCCTTTCCCAGAAATCCCTTCTTCAGCAGTTGCACTGTAATGCCACTGTCAAACTTACTGATTTTAGAGCAGTGAAGAAGTTATGAAGTAGCGTAGCGCTAGCACCTAACTTTGGAAACCACATTCATACAATTATAATCAATAGTGTACTTCAACAATTTACCATTGCACATTAAATACACTGAACTTATTGATAATCAGCTGGTCTTAACACATAGTTTATCAACACATTTTCAACTTCGTTTCCTATAAAAAACTATTTATGTCGTGTTAATGAAGTTTGTCTTGAGAGACATCCTCTTTTTAATATTTCGGTGCTGCATGGCAGATGTTTCTGCAACTCAAAAACAAAAACCCCGGGTTTGGACTCGACTTCTGCCTTTTTGAGACCATCCCTGCCATTGCATACACTGTGCTGACCACACTATACTGAGCTTGCTTTGTGGGAGACTGTTCACGCTTTTCCTCTATCACAATAGACAGTGCTTTATCTTTTTCAGCAGATATCACCTTTGGGGTCTCTCAGGGCTCAATTCGAGCCCCAATCTTTTATTCTCTTCACATGCTCCACTTGGCAACATCATGAATCAGTGGCAAACAGCATTGAGGACAATCCGTGGCAAATGTGACGGCCGCACGGGCCACAGAAACCCACTTGTGGTATTGTTTTGTGTGGACACAGCAAGTGTTTTTTGTGTTCTGTCAAAGGCAAAATAGTGGTTACACACTCACGCTTAGACCTTCATCTTGTAATCAATGTATGAATTGTGGGTGCCAAGGTCTTATCTGTTCCCAGATGTGAAAACCTAGCATCAACATATTGATTTTTTTTATTTTTGCACTGCAGTTTTAGATTTGATATCAGGATTATGCTGATCATTACACAGGCGAGGCTCATTCCAGCCTCAGGCTATGCTGCATTTTCTTGCTCTATGAGCAGTGTACGTGCGCTTCTGTAAATACATGGCTTCTTTAAGTCTTCTGTAAATACATGCGAATATTTCACATTTGTTTTTAATTCATAAGACCCTAGTGCAGTATCTGTTCTAACCTTGCCTGTTTGCTTGGCCTGTGTTGATGCTCCGGAGCCTACTTCAAAATGATTCATTGTCAAGATGATGTTACGCCCGATTTTGACCCGTGGTTTGACCCAGTTGCCGACCACTGCTGTGTAGTTTATCTGAGGACGTAGAAGAAGACATGTTCAACTCAATCCGCAGACTGACTGTTAGCACACAGCCCCCACCCCCACTGACTGCAGATACAGACATGGCAAGCGTGAAGTCGATAGGATGAACGGTTTGAGAGATACGTGTTCCACAAATCAAAAAAAAGACAGACAGACATTTGTGGAATTAGGAGGTACATGTGAATATATGTACTGTTAATAAAAAACCCTTTTACTTGTCCTTACCTATCAATGCTTTTTGTTTGCATCTGTTTACTACTGTATCTACATGGTTGTTGGCACAGCACAGAGTTCTCACCAGATTTTGCACAAAATTGGGAAGATGTATTCATGTAATTCAGATGAACAGTTGGAGATGCACAACTCATTTCCCTTACACCGCAGTGAATTCCTAAGTTGCAGAGCTGTGGTGTGTTACTGCAGGTCAACACAAGGAGCTCTGGGGCCCTTCAAGCGGAGAGGAAATGAGAGGACAAGACCAACAATGATACAGTATAATGACCAAATGTTGATGCTATGCGGCACGGGGGCTTGACCCTGGACTTGAATAATGAACGGTCTGAATTTCACAAATTGGTGTCCATTTCCAAAAGGGGAGGGCAGTGAGTAGTTGGGAGGGTGGGTCAGTTTTATTTTTGAGTTTAGAGAATAACAAAGGCTGTTGCACTCTGCAAGCAGAGAGCTGGACCAGGTTTATAGATTGGGTAGTTGTGTGATGTGAGGGGCGAGGTGTTTTCATGACTTTTAAGTGTATTTTGGGCTTTGAAGATAGTCTACAGTTGTGGTGCTCAGAGCCGATGAAGGAAAATCTGCAGTAGGTCAGGGTCGTGGGATCGTGTTTTCTGGTTCACAGGTTTCCAGGCTAGAGAGTTCAGAATGAATCGGATGTGTTATTCGAGTGTCTAGCAGGACAGCCGCGGTGTATTGAGCATTGCAGTAAACAGATCTGGGAAACATAAGCATGGAACAGTTTTCTAGGTCAGTTAAAAGAAGAGGAAATAACTAATCCTGGAGGTATTTCAGAGGTGGAGGAAAGCTTTTTATGATAGTCCCTTGATGTGTTCACCAAAGAAAAGTTCAGTTTTGGAGACAATTCACCAGAGTTTAGCAGATTAATTTGGGGCATTTATCAAGTCATTAAAATAAAGAGGAAAATCAGCAGTATCCTGCGAGGGACATGAAAAAATTAATTTAACTTTGTCTAAACCTTGTTATCATGTTGTTACTGTGTCATTATTTTGTCAAAGCTAGTTGTTCTCCTCCAGATTCCTTTAATGACTATGTAATGAACCTCATTAACACTTTAATAAGCTTTAAATTGATAGTGCTCCTTCTCAAACTAATATACCACCTAAAAATACCCCTGCTTTGGATGCAATGCAGGAAACTGAGCCCTAGATCACCCCTGCTGGTTCAATATCTGTTGGCTCACTCACTCACACAGTCGGAAACAGACAAACTATAAAATGAGAAAATTAAAGTATGTGAAGTCAAAAACATTTTATCCATGTTGATTCTTGTAATTAATTACCCTGAAGCTGTGACAAAAAGACATTAAGAAATGTATTTAAGGCTTATGTTTATGCCTTTACATTGGTGATCAGCATAACTGTAACATAGGAGCTAGAGGATTCAGATTTTTTGATTATTTTAGGATCCATGTGATATCTGATGTTTATATTTGATGTGTGCCGTTCGGTTGTACTCCTGAAACAGGAGGCTCAAACTAAGCATACACTGCAATTCTAGAAAATTGGTTACAGTTCAACTCCAATCATCAGGCCATGACCAGAAGGCTCACATGACGTGTACATGCCCTTCAGTCCATTCGGACATGTCTGGCTATTGTCAAAGTGTCAAAGAAGACGGAGTAGAACGTTTGTTTGCTTTAGAAGTTCTAACGGGAGAAATTAGCTGCCTTGACCAAATATGCCATTCTGTGTTTCAAAATGTCAAAAAAGAGAGGCTCCAAAATTCTTCCCAAAATTTCAGTAATGAAGGGAGGAGGAGAAAACAGTAAGAGGTATGAGACCAGCCTGGCTTCTATGTTGTTTGTCTATCCCACACATTGTCATCTTGTCCTGGTTTCACCTTTACTGAGTTTTTTCTATCACAATG